GGCTGCAGACTCCCCCCCCAAGTCCGCCCTCCTCTCGAACGGCAGCGATGTCAAAGCGCTGATAACCGCGGACTGCCAGGCCAGAGGCATGCCCCTCCAGAACAGATTCCATACCAGGGAACTCGGGTTAGATTCCACGGCGGGGAAGCGCAGGTGCCTCCAGGCCCGTCGGACTCGGCAGCGTTTCGGGTTCAAGCGTTTCGAAAAAAACCTTAGGAGGCTCCTGAGGGTCACGAAAGACGCCCACAAACTCCATAAGACGGGTACCCAGCCACAGGTGCAATGGGGGCTCGAAGGCCATGGGGTTGCACCACTAGTATTCAGTGCACACCGACCTGCAGCAGGATCAGCACGCGGAGTCAGCAAGCCAGGCAGTTGTCTCACCGCGTTTCTACATCATGCGAAGTTGCCGTCTGAGGCACTGGACCCAGCTATGTTCATGCGCGCCAGGCTCTTGGACATGGGTGATCAGCACCGAGCCGCAGCTGCGCGAGGGTATCAGTAACGCGTGGCCCCCGCGTCCTCAGGAGGCTCCGAGGGGGACGTAGCTGGAGCCAAGCACACCGCCACTTCAGCGCCGTCCTCGGGCCCCTCTTGGACCTCGGGTGGGTCAGACAGGAGTCGACGTTCGCAGCCCCAGATGGCTGATCGAGCGTCTCTACCGCGACGGGCACCAGCATCTCGCGAAGGCGCTCAGGGCCGTGGGAAGTTGCTCAGCCTGGAGTCCCCGACGGCGATTCGAGAGTGGCCTGCAGGAAGACAGCAATTGCCCGATCTGCGGAGAACACCACTGCGATGGTAGGCACAAGTTCTGGGGATGCCCACTCCTCTTCCAGGTAGGACACCCTCGGATCCAAGAAATCCAGGGCTTGATTAACATGGCCCTTGGGGATGATCAGCCAGAGCGTCTGTGGTTGCGAGGTCTCATGCCGGCTGAGCTCGCTCTGAAAGCAGTGGAAGAGACCACGCCCCAGCGCCCCGCCCTGCAAGGGGCGGAGGTTTTCCTGGACCCCCCCGCGCCCAGCGGCGGTTGGCGGCTAGGCGCGGCGGACGGCTCAGGGGGCCCCAGGTCCAAGGACCCCCGCCTCAGGCGAGTGGAGCGGTGCGCAGGGGTGCGGTCTGAAGATTAAACCTCCTTGGGGCGCTCCAGGGGAATGTAGTAGGGCTTCAAATTGTTATCAGGGCTGAACTGAAAAAGGCACCATAGAGCTCCTCCGTCACACCCAAGGGAACCTCATTCTAGCCACTTGTTCCCTCTATCTAGTCAGAGGTCATACGGAAGGGGGCCCGTTGGAGAACCTTCCAACCGACGGCGCTGGCAGGAGTAGCGGTCAGTCTTGAGCGCTCGGATAGACCAGACCTCTCGGTTTAAAGTCAAGTCTCATATGTCCACGCCCGCGGAACGGGCGGAGTATCCAGCGTGGGCGGTCCTTGCAAATGAGAGGGCCGACGAGCTAGCCAATGATTCCGCTGCGCGGGCGGCCGAACCCCCCCCCCGACCTCGACCAAAGAGTCGAGGCCCTGGATGTGCTGGCAGAGCAAATCCGAGGGATGCCCGCAGCAGTTCAGATGTTGTAGTGGACACACTACCCAGTCCAGCAGGAGGCCGCCGACTCCAAGAGAGAGCGGTGGCAGGCCAGTTCCGAAGCAGCGTTCAACCATCTCCTGGACGGCACCTTCCACTGGCCAACTCTCGAGGGTGAGCTTGTCAGGTGCAGCAGGTGCCAGAAGCGGACGCAAAGATGTCGAGCTTCTCGGTGGCTGCGCCTATATTGCGTTTGCCCGAAACCCCATCCAGGCCCGCCAGCAGGGCAGTCGTGTTTTCAGCCAGCATGCCCGCCAACAGATCAGACGGACAGATCGTATCACGGCCACTGGGAGGTGTGAGAAGCTCTGACGGAGGCTCGAGTATCCACCCCAGCCACAACCTCACATTGCGTTCTGCCGAGGGGGTTTTGGGGTGTCGGAGGTGTGGGTCTTGGAGGGTTCGGGCCTCCCGCAAGTTTAGGGAAGCCTGCCACCCCCCTTCCCACAATTCAGAGCGCGGGGAGGAAAGGCAATTCAGCAGCTCACGCAAGGGAAGCCCCCCCCCCCCGGCCTCAAAGAGTGGCGTGCTGGGGATCTGTGGGCCCAGGTCGGGCCCCCCTAGTGTGGAAGGATCGAGGACCGCAGATCGTAGCCGCTCGCGGAGGAGAAGGGCGAGGACGAGGACGAAAAGGAAGGGGAGGGGGAGGGGGAGGATGAGGAGGGAAGAGGAGGAGGAGGACGACGACGAGGAGGAGGAGGAAGATGAGGAGGAGGAGGGGGGGGAGGAGGAGGAGGGGGAGGAGGAACAAAAGGAAATGGAGGAGGGGGAGCGGGAGGCTGGAGGATTTGCGGAGGACCTGCAGGTTGAAGGAGCTGGAGGAGAGGAATCGAGGAGTTGGGGGAGGAGGAAGAGGAGGAGGAGGAGGAGGAGGAGGAGGAACAGGAGGAGAGGAGAAGGAGGAGGAGGGGAAGGAGGATGAGGATGAGGTGGAGGAGGAGGACGACGACGAGGAAGACGAGGAGGACGAGGACGAGGAGGACGAGGAGGACGGGGAGGAGGACGAGGATCGAGGTCCTCTTGTCCTCTTGCGGGGGCCCGGAGGAGGGGAGGTCGGCGGCGCCTTCCCGTTCACCCGAGCACCAGGCAACACCACGCGTTACAGCCAAGACGCTGAAGCAAGGAAGAGCTTGGGTTAGTCAGGAGGTGACAAAACACACAGACACAATTAATCGTCGATTTCTCAGAAAATATGGGAAAATATGGGAAGTGGGGGGAAGACAAAAACCCAGAAAATATGGGAAAATATGGGCGACCTTTTTATTTGTGTGTATTTATTTGTGTGTTCCAGTTTCCCTTCAGTTAGGAAGGGGCTCGTTTTCTGATTGCCTGATTTGCCGATGGGCGCGGGCCTTCGCGCCCTCCCCCCCCAGGAGTAGATTTTGGCTGTGTTATTGGCGCCTGCTCCAGGCAGGTGGAGTCCCCCCTGCAGATCCCTCCCCCTCCCCCCGCCCCTTTTCCGCCGAATTTCGGAATTCCGAATAAGAAAACGCTCACAAGGGGTTCGATGTGCATTAGGTCCTTCCATGGCTGTTTCTCTGGCGCTCCTAGTCCTCGACGGAGTTTTTAGGCAGAAAACGGGCTTCGTTTCTGATCTGGCGTTCCTTACTTCAGCAGCCCGACTGCAGGCTTAACTCGGACACGTCCTTTCACAGGAGGAGAGTATTTTCACAAACAGTCAAAAAATAGCCTGGGAACGTTGTTTTACGATTGTTGCATATATTATTGAATAATGTTTGACTATGTTTCAGCTTTCGCCCATCATCCGCCTGCAGGAGGACATGCCCAACCTACTTGTAGGGAGCGGGATCCAGTGCCGATCCAAGAGATCTGCGCGGACCTCCAGAACTGTATGCTAATGCCGTGTCTTGCCCCTCTAAGGAGGGGGGGGGTCAGCAATGCGGTCGAACGCCTGGGGCGCGCAAAGCACTGAACTTGGAGCCAGCTGCGGGGCTGAGGGTCTGAGGTGGTTCAGCACTGGTTCTCAGCCACGCGCAGAGGGGGCTGGGGGGAGTGGGGAGGGCTTCCCAGAAGCCCCCCTGCTCCTTAGAAGGCGCGGGCCTTGTGTATAGATGTAGGGCGAGCGTCTCCCAAGGCGCAGCCTTCTTCTAAGAAGCTTTCCCCCCTCCCTCCAGTGCGCGCGCTGCCACAGCTCCCACTAGCAGAAAGGTGGGAGAACGGGTGCCGCCCCCTTGTAACCAAGTTTTTGATTCCCCAGGTCCTGGCAGGGTTTGAAGCGCAGCTTGCCTTGTGGTTGAGGGGAGTGCCCTCGAAGGACCTCACGGTGCCCAGGTTTGTTGAGATTTCGGAGACGGTTCAGGAGTTCCCTCTGGGGAAGGTTTTAATTTCGGTTGTTTGCTCGGAGCCTGGAGGCCCTCCTCTGTACATCTTCGGAGATGGTTCTGGAGGCGAGTATAGTTCGGACCCTGGACGCAGGCGATGCGGCTCGGCGGTGGTTGTGTCGTTTCAGGATCCCTCGTCGCCCCTCTCTTGGGTCCCTCTGTGCGGTGTTAGCCAGATTCTCTCGTGCAGGAAGCAGACTGTCCCTAGAAACTCAGTTCAAGCTTCCTGTCTTGTTCTAGAGCACTCTCATGGCCCGACTTGCCATGCGACTGACTGCAAGAGCTTGATTTCTTATTGGCATGGCGGTCGTGCTCGTTTCCCTCGGGGCGGGAACGGGGACCCATGGGTTCGTGCTGCCCGCGCCCTGGTCAGCAGTGGCCTTGGGGAGACTTCTTTGCTTCGGACGCCTCCTCACGTGGAGGACCAGCTGCAGTCTGTCACTTCGACCTTTGATGTGTTTATGTGCCAGGGTAACGCCAGTGCCGACGTGCTTGCGGGGGTCGCGGCCCAGTGCTGTGTTGTGTCCCCCTTCCCCCCTCGGACCGACCTGTGGGGGGCCGCAAGCGGGAGGGAAGGATGGAGGACCTGGTCGGACGAAGCAGTGGGATTGGCAAAGGAATGGGGGGTACGAAGATGCTGGTTTTTCGGCCCCGCCGCCCGAAGTTTCCCGCCATCCATTGGCGCCTCTGGCGCCAGAAGGCGCCGGGAAAATCCACCACGTGAGCTGATTCGCCAAACCCCTGTTTGTTGGCCCCCCGTATCGTCCGATCAGAGAAGAGGAGGAGGAGGAGGAGGAAGAAGAAGAAGAAGATGAGGAAGAAGAAGGAGAAGAGGAGGAGGAGGAGGACCGAGGAGGAGGACTGAGGAGGAGGATGAGGACGAGGACGAGAACGAGGACGACGATCGAGGATAGAGGATCGAAGATCTAGGAGGAAGATCGAGGATAGAGGAGGAGGAGGAGGAGGAAAAGGAGGAGGAGGAGGCGCCCTCGTTCCCCGCTCCCCGCTTCACTCCTTCCGAGGACGGCGACCGGGCCCGAGAGCGTGCCCAGCGGGCTGCCGAGCGGGCGGAGGCGGGCCGAGCGGGCTGGTGGGCCCTGTCCCCCCCCCCCCCTCTGCCAGGCTTCCTCCTCCTCCTCTCGTCATCGCCCCCTCCCCTCCTCCTCCTCCTCCTCCTCCTCCTCCTCCTCCTCCTCCCTCCTCCTCCTCCTCCTCCTCCTCCTCCTCCTCATCATCATCACCATCCTCATCACCATCATAATCCTCATCATCATCATCATCATCATGCTCATCATTTTCTCATCCTATCATCATCATCATCATCATCATCATCATCATCATCATCATCATCATCATCATCATCATCATCATCATCATCATCATCATCATCATCATCAGCATCAGCATCAGCATCAGCATCAGCATCAGCATCACCACCATCACGGACCCATGTCAGGCCATCCCTGCTTTTCACTGCCCCTGCCCTGTTTCACCCGCCTCTCTCCCGCTGCCTTTTGGGCCCTGAGCCCGGCCAGGCTTAGCGCCCACATACGCCTAACACACCGCATACCGCATACATCGCTCTCGTAAAACATAGCGTACATTCTCTGATCCTTCATTCCGAACTGGTTACTCTAGTTGGTAGCGGAGCTTCGGCTCCCTTCCACGATGTTCCATTCTTCTCGCGTCATCTCGATGAAGACGTTCTCCCACTCCGTCTACATGAGCCCTGTGTTCTTCCGCATATCGAGCAGCATGCTCATCAGTATAGCGTTGTGCCTTTGCTCCCCGCGCGGCGCGGCAGGGAACCCGATCCCGCCGCAGGAACCCGACGATCCGGGAGCAGGCGCGACCATCTTGTGCAAGTACGACCAGAAAATCTACGACGGCACCCAGCAGGACGGCGCCTGGGAGGGAGGGCGGGAGCGCGAGCTTGTTTGGGATGTCTCAATGAGCCCAGCGCGCGGCGCCACGACCACCCCGCACGATCACTCCATGAGTGTCTCGCACATCCCGAGAAAGCCAGATGCGACCATGTCGCAGGCAACCCCAGGGTCTCAGATGTCATGGTATCCGCCTGTGGAGAGCACTGGCGACGTCAGTCTTGAGATTTACTCCGAGCCCACGCTATCAGCGTCAGAAGAGAGTTCAAGGGGGACGCCTACGACTGCGACTACGCCGACGGCTATTCCGAGCACGCCTACGGCCACGAAGACTACGCCTTCGGCTACAATGTCTTCGCTTACGGCTTCGCCTACGCCTACAACCTCGTCTACGCCTACGGCTACGACGACGACGGCTCCTACGTCGACTTAGGACGCGCGCGGCGCCAGTGGCCCGCAGTGTTGAAGGGCCGCCAATCCACGAGCGCCCTCCTCGACAAGGCCAAGCCCGGGACAGTCGCCCAGCACCGCAATTGGCCTGGGCCCGAGCCGTCCGCCAAGTTCAGCGCCCAGCACCAGCCGCAGCACAAGGATGCGGAGACGATCGCTCACGGCGCAAATCTCCCGCGTTGCTGGCGCGACGACCCCTCGGCGAACCACAATCCCGAGGAGGCCGACGAAGCAGAGCATACCATGGACCACTATCCGCGTCGACTCCGAGGCAGCCTGCCTGAGCATCGACGACGGTGGATCCCAGGCTCCGAAGCTACGGGGATGCTGCTGAGAGGCCTCAGCCACAAGCGGGCGCGGCTCATAGCCGGGGCCCCGCTTGCCATCTCCGGCCTATCCCGCACGGACGCAGGTGGGGGCGGCAGCGGCAACGCCCGTCACCTCCGGACCTGGGGGCCCGAGCAGCAGGCTCGCGCGCCCTTCAGTCGATGGGTCCGGGAGGCAATGATCTGGTCTGTCGCGAACTCCGACATGAACGAGTTCCGGCAGGCGGCCAACGCTTTGTCGCGCCTCACTGGCATGGCGCGCGAATGCGTCGACGAGTGGCCGCCCCAGATCCTCATCCAGGGAGGCATCATCAACGGTCAGCCGGCGCCGCCGATGACCTTCCCGATGCACGGCTCGACCGAGCGCCGGGGCCAGCTGGGGGAGGAGGAACGCACCGCCGCAGCGCAGGCTCTCATGGGTTTCCACCGCCAGCCCAGGGAGCGCATCGACGACCTCCTCACGCGGTTCGACATCGTCCGCAACCGCGCGCAGCAGGCCGGTCAGCTCACGGTCGGCTTCGAGGGGCTCAGCTTCCCGCTCCTCCGCGCGCGCGGCGTTGACAACAGTCGGCTGCCCATGGCCCCCCAGCGCTACACCATGGCCTACCCCTCCAACGCGCAACCGCTGCAGCGCACGACCAATCAGCTGCGCCGCGTCGGCCATATGGCGGAGAGCTCCCCCGGGAACCTCTCCCAGGCAGTCCGTGCCAGAGGGAACCAGACGTCCCTGGCCACTCCTTCGCCGAATGGCCCCAGCACATCCATGATGACGCTGGCGGTCTGAGCGTGGGTCACCAAGGACCTCCGGCCATGGGCGCAGTCAGCCCCACCGAGCCCAGCGGGGGCCGCAGCCATGCCGAAGCTCCCCGCCAGCAGGAGGCATACCCAGCCGGCGGAGTCGACTCTGGCACCGACTCGGGCACAGCGTCGAGCTTCGGCGAGGAGATCAGGGAGGACGACCCCGAGCTCCAAGGCGCAACCGAGGACCAGCGCGCGGCTCGCCTCTTCTGGGCCTACGAGCGCGCCAAGAGCAGGCGGCGTCGGTTCAGCAACTACAATCCGACCCGCCGAGCGCGCCGAGTCCTCAAGCGCAAGGGGAAGGGCAAGGCCGCGGCAAGGGCCGCACCTAATTACCGCGCGCACCTGGACGACGCCACGGCCCGGGAGACCTTTGTGGGCTTCGGGAAGGGCAAAAGTAAGGGAAAGGGGAAGCATCGGACCAGCGGCATGGGCACGGGCAGGTCCGGCAACCCCTTGGGTCCAGACGGGCAGCGCCTCAAGTGCCACGAGTGCGACTCGGAGGAGCACCTCGTGCGCGACTGCCCTCGGCGACGCCGGCATGGCGGCCGGGCCCTCTGCCTGAACACCTACCTCCCCTTATCGTCCCCTGCATCATCTACGTCACCATTGATCTCTCTTGGGCAATCAGGCCCACCTGAGCCATCAGCGCAGATGCCCAGGGCGAGTGCTCACCAGGTGTGGGTGGTCAGGGGTACCGCGGTAGGGGCAACCAACGACCATATCGGCGGCTCTCCTGGCCAAGGTGATCCATTGCAGGGTGCTGACCCGTGGAACGGAGGCCGGCCGACGCCGATGACCGCCTCTTGCAGACCACAGACACCAGGGTCTGACGGTTCCCGGCAGCAGGTCGGCCACAGTCAGTGGAGCTAGGGCTCGTCATCGCGCTCTGGCGGTCCAGCAGCAGCCTCGGCCTCCTCCACTTCTTCTCCGAAGCCTCTCGAAGACGAAATACGACGACTACGACAGGAGATGGAGGCCATGAGGCAGCGTATCCAGCAGCGGCAGCCTGCAGCCGGAAGATCCGACCACGTCGGTGAATCCGCGGGCTCAGCACCAGCACGGCCAACACCAGCAGCCCCACCAGCAGCGCCACGGCAGCCAGCACAGCATCAGCCACAGCAGCCGCAGCAGCAGCGACCTCAGTGGCACGTGGGCGCAGCCTTCCCTGTGGCAGCTGACTGGATTGGTGACGTCAATGCTCGCGCGGCCTCACCACCAGAGCCACCGCGGGGCGTTGAGCTGCCGAACTGGGCGTACATGCCTTCAGTCTCGGCCCTCGGCATCAGCGGGCCATACGATCCGAGCACCATGTAGCCTCTGCATGTGGCGCCGAGTCCGGAGTCCCCAGCGGCTCCAAACTCCCTTGAGATGCTGCCGCTCTTCGGCAACAGTGCCACAACGCCGTTGCGCCTGACGCCGCCCTCAGGGGGGATCGCGAGCTGGTTCGCCGGGCGGGAGCAGTGGCAGCAGCAGAACAGCCGCTCTGGCATCTCAGTCGCGATGGTGGAGACGACCGTGGGCGCGACCCAGCGGCGCCCAGTCTGGGAGCTCAACAACGCGCAGAGCACGCTCGAGGAGCTGAGGAGCCAGGAGTAGGCGAGGGGGAGGCAGTCACAGCAGCCGCAGCCTCAGGCACCTCCACCGCCGCCTCGGCCTCCTGCGGCGCCCTTCGACGGCGACACACAAGCTGCCCCATCTGCCTCGAGGCGCACGCGCGCGGAGCTGCAGCGGCGCGGCTGCAGTGCCGCCACGTTCTCCTTCAAGGCTGCCATCTACAGCTGTTAACCCAGACGGACTCAGCCGTCGCGCTGTGCCCCGCGAGTCGCGGCCCCGCAGACATCATCGCAGAACGCGGATGCATCGGAACAGGGGGGGCCAACTCCTCCAGAGCCGACGGCGCAGGCCATGGTAATGCAGCGGCTCCTGCGATGGACGTGGACGAGCAGGTGTAGGACGGAGGCCCGATTGCGCCTAGGGATGCACAGTGGCCGATCCACCCGGCCATGCCCGGGACCCCAAGCAGGCGAGACCTACTACAGTCGCTTGGCAGTGCATCCAGTTTCGTATCAGCTGAGGACGCCCAGGTCTCAGAAGGCTTCGGTGCAGTCTTCGGCAGCGGGCAGGACTGGCACCGCGCTCCCCCCTGGTGGCCTACTACAGGGGAGGCAGGACGGCACTGGTCAGACGAAGACCCCAGTGCCAGCTCGCCCTACTTCTTTTGTTGACGCTGGCGCCTGGGCCAACCTCTGGGGACTGCACTTCGCGCAGCGCCTTGCACACCAAGCGCCCCGGCATAAGTCGCAGCCCACCGAGGAGAAGATGCCACATCCACTCTACGCGGCAGGGGTCGGCAACGGGCCACAGCAGGCACGATGGGAGGTAGACTGCCCCATCGCTGTCACCTCTCGCGAGGGCGTGGCCTCTCAGCACAGCATTCGCGCCCCAGCTGTGGAGGGCGACGGCGCTGAACTCCCGGCTCTCCCGGGCCTCCAGTCCACGCAGGCCAGCGACGGAGTCGTGGAGACAGGCGGAACCACAAGCGCCTGACCTTCCTTGGCAAGGGCGGTTACGAGATCACTTGGAGCCCCGGCGCCGCCCACTTCGACCTCGAGT